TCCTGCCGAACAAATCTTTTATGTTAACATCTGCCCCCTCGACCAAGATTTCCACGGTCTCTTTATGTCCGTTCTCTGCTGCGCAATGTATGGCACGTCGCCCGTACATAGCTCTGGCGTTGACACGGGTGGGGTCCTCACGTCTTAATCGCGCTACCAAATGGCTATCCCCCTTTTCGGCCGCCCGGTGCAGGGCTGTCATGTCACTAATATCCTGATCCGGAATATCGCACGTTTCTCCCGTCGACCTCCTCGCCCAGTGAAAGCACTTTCTCATCGTTCCCTGCATAGGTACCGGTTTTATATCGGGTTCGTCTTATGGCCTTTCAGCGGAATGATTTGCTAAGGGTATGGGATGTGATATTCACATGCAAGGTTGAATAAAAAGCCAGGGGGTTAGACCAGAATTCCTTCGGGTTCGAGTAGCAGCGACTAACTACAGAGTATATTTCGAAGTATAAATATATTCTGCTGATCGACACAATCGTACTTCTGGTAGTATTGTGTGCGCCTGCTTGGGGGTCGGTCAGCAGCATGGCCAAATTCCCAACTAGTTGATTGGACTCTAAGTACCTACGATATTTTGCGGCTACATTGAATCCTAATTTGCTATGGCAAGTTGTCGTTACTCACATAGTATAGTAGATGCGATAGCAGGTCGGCGACCAGCCCGTCGCTCTACACTGGGTAGAGTATCGTTGGTGGCCGGATTGATGGGCCCAGCCCAATCATAACGCCCACTTCCAGTGCCCGATATGGACTGCGGAATCGTGGCATTCAATTAGTGGACTTTCTAGTAATCTCGGGGCGAGATCATAGATTCAGCTTGGGTATCCATGGGCTCATTTGGGTCCTTGGGTTCTTGGCAATGGGTCGGGCCTTGGAACCCTAGGCGAAATATTATGCGGCCAAAGTCAGCAGGGGAACCTATTCGCACCCGCGCTTACGGCTATGTATTATCAACAAGAGATGTAGGTTTCGGCTTAGCACCGCTCCCCTTTTTGCACTGGCCACTACGTTCAAACATAACCACATCGATGAAGATTAGCACGTCCTGAAAGCCGGTGCGCTACTCCTCACCATGGACTCTGAAGGCGTTGCTGTCGGGTGGCAATCAAGCCCCGGCCGCCGCGGTACGCTTACGATTATTGAGAATTGCCTCTTCACTATAATCGCCTGTACATGGAGCATACAACATCCCAATGCCCCAGGACTAGGCGAAGCTGGGTGGCAAACCCTAATACGAAAATGCAAGTGGACTGTGTTCACCTTGTTCTTCCCCGAATTCCTCATGGCACATGCCATTCTGGAATTTGTGATGGCTGTAGAAAATATGAAGTCGTTGGATATACTGGGACATCTCCATGATAGCTTGCCTTGGTTTTACCGACGGGTTCGACGCCACCCTCTCAATTCTGACGACATGGAGACCGGCAGGGTAAAGTCAGCATCAGTGCCAGGGGGCACGGGACAATCGGAGGTCAAGTGGACCCTCACACACTGCTATTTTGCGAACATGGGGGGATTTTACATCCGTGACGATGATCAACCATCTTCCACGCCCACGGATCACTTGTTAACGGCTAGCCACTTTGTAAAGCATTGGACACACATTAGCATACCTAATCTCTCGGAAGACGACCTGAACGACAAGAGCAAGACGGATTATTTCACAAAGGCTATTGCCGTTATTCAAATCACACAGCTGATACTGTCTCTCATAATCCGAGAAGTGCAGCATCTCGCATTCTCCCAGCTTGAAACGTTGACACTGGCGTTTGCAGTGTGCGGGATTTTAACATACATATGTTCCTGGTATAAGCCACAAAACGTCAGAAAACCAATCAAGGTCTCGTTCAACAAGGATAGTGGCAAGTTAAAACCCGAGATACTACAGCGACGGACTTTCGACAGCTTTTGGCATGTTCTAGCGAATTCAAAGGTCGCATATCGCCACCGAGCTCTGCAGAGAATCCCCAACGATAACATACCAAAGAGCAACCCACAAGAAGCGCATTATGCCCTCTATGTGCTCACGGTGTTAACGGCAGCATTTGGAAGCATCCATGCAGTAGCTTGGAATTTCGAGTTCCCAACGTCGGTGGAACAGACCCTCTGGAGAATTAGCACTCTGATATCTACCGCTTTACCCCCCGTTACCCTTCTCACCATCCCTCTCGCCCAGATCCTTCGGTCATGGGGAGACAGTGCTAGCTTTAGGTACACATGCTTAGATATTATGAGAGAATACTCCTGGAATGCAGCCGACAATCAACCGGTTCAACATGCTATGAAGATCTTGAAGAGGATCTGTGATAACCCGGAAGGCGCCAAACATGAACACTACCGAGAGATATTTGGAGACCATATCGTCTCCGAAGATTTTCTCGGTGAGAGGCTTCTTGCATACATCGAACAAAACCAAGAACTTAGGAGATCTCTTCCGCGGGACTTTCTCCCCAAATTCACCAAACTTGTGGAGATCTTGAGAGGAACATCCGGGTCCAAACGGCTCCTGGATACAGCCCGAACAAATACGTATCCCAAGAGAAGTCTGTTCAACTCGTCGTTAAATAACGCAATTATCTATCTATCTGGTATTGTATACTGCATTGCACGTCTGAGCATAATTGGGATTTCATTTTCAAGTCTTCGGCAGATGCCGGGTTCGGTCTATGTTACTCCCTGGACACAATACATCCCGAGTGTGCAATAAGGCTTGGGCTAGATCCTAACTGGTAACCTAGCCTGCTAGCACTTGGGCAATAGCCCGTCGATAACCCGACGACGTGGTGCATATGAAAGTACAAGGTCGGTATAAACGAAAGAGCGGAGATGATGTGGTTGCGGTGAAGATTTTGAGACACAAAGAAGAACGGAGCGGGGCGAGCAAGAGCTGACTTGAGTGATTTGGTGAAAAGCTTTATTGCGTTGGAGAGGCGTATTTTTCAGAAACTTAGTCGTTTCATAACTTTGTAATGAACCGGGATATTTGGCATCTTAATCCAAGAACCTCCTAACGACGACTATAACCTGGAACCCCCCCCCCCCCCCCCCCTCCCTTTTTTTTTTTTTTTTTTTGAATTATCGCACTAATATGTTGATAATAAAGCAGCCGCCTTGAATGAGTGCTGAATAGCTGCTGATGCCTAATGTTACTCTCTGTATTAGAGACCAAAAGGGGTAAAGCCATTGACTTCCCATAACCAGCAAACTTCATCAGGTGCCCCCTACCATAATTATAGAGACTATGTACTACTTTAGATACGACGAAACCGATGTTCTACATATGCTAAGATAGATGGGAATAGACCGAGTGAGAACCGAGTACCTATGTATTCTGACGCATTCATGCGGCGCAGGATTCGGATTTCAGACTAGCTTACATAATCAGACCAAGTTATTCAACTGTTATTGGCACCTGGGCACCTAACTAGCGCGATGTCACGCTCGTAGAACGAGGAAGACGGCGATACGGACAAGAATGAGCTAGTTGGGGGATTGATGTGAATTCGTATGATCTGCGTAGCGATGAAAATCACATTCCCGTGGGGCTCCGAGTACCAATGATGCTCGTAGCTTGTCATATACAGCGGTCTCTTTGCTCCACTATCAAAAGCCAGGTCCCGTGCTGACAGGACCCATCGCCCGTCCTGTTAGTACCATCTAATTATATATCACCTACAGTCGCATCAGGCACACACAGCAACACCAAGATATCGAAAGGGTCGCGGAACGTGAGTGGCAAAGATGGAGCGTCGCAGAGAGCAGAATCGCTTAGCACAGCGCAGATACCGACGTGAGTCTAAGTGAAAGCCCGGTGCCTGTCACCCCCAGTCGCTCCGCTGGCGGCTTGGCACTGCATGGTGTGTTGTGAACACGCTGGCTAACCTTTAGCCTGGACCCTCTGGCTGCGTACAGGACGGCAACAGCAGGCAGCTATGCTCTCCTCCCGCCCAATCGCTATCCCCTTCTTTCGGGGACCACCATCGGGCGCGGGCATCTCGGTGTCAATCCCGACGGCCGCCCCGCCAGGGAGTGTTGTGGCCAACGCGACCGCCGAGCAGCCGCCGCCTACGTCAGTGTACGCGTATGCGGTCGTTGACTCGACAAAGTCATTCTGCGATCTGGTCTCCGACGGCGCGCAGCTGATTCTCGGCGGCCTCGACAAGTTTGACTTGGATGATGTCGAATTACCTAGCTCCTTCGCAGCTCACCGGTCTGGTTCTTCCGGCTCATCCGGCCCGCTGCCGACGCCTGCTGAGGTCGTCCATGCATTGTCTACGTCCAAAATATACGAGAAAGCAGCCCCACCAGTGAGGATAACCAATCTAGCAGATTCGACAGGCCCAGAAAGGGGTAGAGCCGCAGAGACGGACAAAGTACGCAGAAACTGGGTTGGCCCTTTCCACATGGCGGCGAGGAAGGGCCAGGATAACATCGTGCGGACTCTGCTACAGCATAACGCAGACTGTAACCTAAGAGACGGCGAAGGGTTGACGCCACTGCTACACGCCACCATTGCCGGCCATGGCGAGATCGTGAGTTTGTTATTGTCACACGGGGCCCGGATCGACCTAGTCGATAGCCGAAGCCGCTCGGCCCTGCACTGGGCAGCGGCAAAGAGGCAGGAGGCTGTGTTGCGCGTGCTGCTAGAAAACGGAGGCGACAGGTCGCTAATCATAGATAAGCACGACGACAGCGGCATGACACCGTTACACAGCGCCGTGGACGCCGGCTTTGAGGCTGGCGTAGAGTTGCTGTTACGGTTCGGTGCCAGCGTCCAGTGCTCGGACATAAGGCGTGCGGCCGACGGCGCCGGCTTGTGATTATTAGTGTCTCCTTCCCGGTTTTCCATTTCTAGACTATATGTACTGCGCGGAGTTCACGGGGTAGATACACGTCCTCGGGCTGAAATTACACTTCTTCTGTTCCCCTCCGCCCTCCGATGTGATCGCTCTTCCCCTTGTGAGGCATCTTAAGTGGCCCACCCACCCGTGGCCCTGCTAGCTCAATGGTTAGAGCATCTGACTTCTAATCAGAAGGTTGCGCGTTCGAGTCGCGCGTAGGGTTGATTTGGGATTTCTTTTTTTTCTTTCTTGACATAGGTATATCGTCGGCCCTCCTTAGGTTTGCGGATGGTTGAGCCGCCCCCGCGCCGCCCCGAGCTCCGTTCCTGCTGTGTGCGAGCAACCGTTCCGCATCTCCCGGCCGGCGGTGCCTATTCTCGAGCAGAATGGCCCCGATCGCGTAAAGCGGAAGTCGGGATCGCAGATGTGCGCCTGTGTCAGCCGGCATCGATGTGCGACGTTGGCGGCGGTGCGCCTATGCTTCCGCCTATTGTCTCGCATTGACCCCGGATCACTAGGTTAGCGTCTTCTCGGTAGTCTAGCGCTCGCGCATGAGGAACCGCGACTGGCCTATCAGCCGCTTGGCCCGAGTTGGCGGAGCGTGTTAGGAAAATTACAGACACGGGCGAGCACCTCTGGGATCGCCACAGCCGGGATACTATCCAGAAGATCGAAATCGCAACATAGTAAGATCCTCAATTGCGCAAAATGCAGGACCGCCGGAGCTCGAAATCGCGAAATGCTCCTACTCTATATAGTTTGAGGGAGGACGCCTACGGTAAAAGAACAGGGGCCGTAAAAGTGCACGGCGAGTCTAACCGCATCCATCTATCTACATCTCTATCCGGCGATTCACATCGTCATCTCAGCATACACGCTCGGCTTCAACTTGAGTAGATATGAACAAACGGAAGCCCTTGAGGGAAGTGTATTCGCGACTTGTTATGATAAACACATATATATATTTATTGATTCGTTGGCGATCTCACCAGGGGATTGTTTGACGGTGGGGCGGCGATACATCGAACGTTGGATCCTACGCGCTACTAAAAATAGCTGTGACGGCCGGGGTATTCTGCGACGCCAACATCGTGTGAGGACGCGCAAAGGAAACACTCGCCCTTTGACATCAATCGCAACAGGCCTATTTCTCTAATGCACAAAGTAACGCCGAATAAGGGAGACTGTACTACGTAGTGGCATACTATAAATCTCTTAGTGACGACTGCGTATTACTTCCCACTGCTAGACTGAAATGCTGCCTTTCTACCAACCAGAACCTCTGCTCAACCCAAGGAATATTCGTGTGCTAGATCTTCATCCGTCGTCAGATATCGCGGCGCCTGTACACATCTCGCTCAGGCAGCTATGCCTGAATGACCGGAAGACGCGTGACGCGTATGAGGCGCTCTCCTACGTGTGGGGATCCCGTGCCCCCGACGTCCCCATCATTTGCGATGGCAAGACACTCCTCGTCACACAGAACTGCCATGACGCATTGGTCAGACTCCGCGCTGGCATTTCTTCGAAGAAGCCGAGGTGTCTCTGGGTTGATGCTATCTGTATCGACCAGCGAGGTGACGAGGCGGCGACATTGGAAAGAAACTCGCAGGTCAAGCAGATGGGGGAGGTGTATACTAGCGCGAAAACGGTGATCATCTGGCTAGGCGCCCCGAGCGCGGACTCGGCTAGCTTTTTCAAGAATCTAAGGGGCCTAATGCGGTATTCGTGGCTCCAATCCTTCTTCGAGACGTTCGCCTCGATACTCGATGTGATACCTCCCATGATGTTCCTATTTCTCGGAACGCCGCCAGTCAGGAAAGGTACGGTCTACTTTATATCTCTGCTGTAATCCTTGCCCATTTGGCCTCTATTGGTCTCATGCTAATAGCGAACGTCAAATTTGAAGACGAGGTAGCAGAATCGACAACCCCGAGCGAACCTGTTCTTGTTCAGGAGTTCCTTGACAATCAATGGTTCACGCGCGTGTGGACACTGCAGGAATTGTGTCTCGCGCGTAGAGCCATCGTGGTATGGGGCAATTCGTCAATTTCGTTTCATACGCTGAACACCTACGTGGTGCTTTCATGCGGTCTCCTGGCCAGAAAGGATTTGCCCGGAGCCAAGGAGGCGGCCCTCTACGCTATTTCCTTGCGCTACAAGCTCGCGGCCACGAACACGTCGATATACCAGTCTTCGATGATTAAGAGGCTGTGGGCCCAGAACTACTTCAGCGATAAGCGCATCGCGCTTTACCTCTTCGAGATCTTCAAGCAGGCCGGCGACCTCAAGACTACGGTGCCCCAGGACAGGATCTTCGCGCTACACTCGATCTTCGAGCGCTGCGGGATCACTCTGCCGGACCCGGACTATAGCAAGCCTTTGGAGCAGATCCTGGAAGAAACCACGAAGGCCTGGATCGAGCAGCGGAAAGCGCTGTCTATTCTCGCGCTTGCTGGGGGAGGCGGCGGAGGCTCGCCTAGTTGGGTGCCGCATTGGATAAAGGCGCAGGATGCCTCGAAAGAAGATGCGATACGAGAGTACAACTTGCAGGTGCAGATCGGCCTGCACGAAAACGATATCTATCGAGTGCGCAAGCCACGAGCGAGCAAGGACGCCCCTGTGCTTGATGCGTTTGATTCGAGGCCGGGAACATTAAGGCTCAAGGGACAGCAGATCGGGCATATTACGTCGACTTTTCACTTTAAACAGTTTCGTGAGGACGACGGAAAAGAAGCGTTCAGGGCCACGCTTTGGCGTCTCTGTCAAAAGGTCCATCAGACATCGAGTTACCCTTCTCGCGTCCAACCACTACAGGCTTTCGCTCGTATCCTCGAGCCCCGAGTTCAAAGCGAGAAGAGGATGTGGAAGGGCCGTTTCTCCTTTAAACAAGTTTCAGCCTGTTTTCATCAAGTCGCCGAGTCGGCGTCTGCGTCTCAGTTGCCGGCGGAATGGAATGAATTCTGCATCGTGAAAAGGCTCACTGACCTCTCGCCGTGCACGGTATTCTTTCTCTCGACCGGCTACATGGGAGCAGGATCCCCCTGCTGCCGCGAAGGCGATGCCGCGTTTCTCCTGGCGGGATCGTCCTGGCCTATGGTGTTGCGGAGGACTGAACAGGTCAAGGACGGAAAAGCCCACCGCCTTGTTGCCCCGGTCCGAATTGAAGGTGTGATGGGGGGCGAGGCGTGGTCAAATACCATCGCAGAACTCCAAACGATCTATGTTGTCTAGGCTCTACGGCTACATCCTGACACTCCCCATGGCGAAATTTATATCATAGCGACGTTTATAAAGGAGTGCGCATTACAACCCCAGTACGACTCCTGTATAATAGGCTGTATGGTTATCGAGATGTGTATATAAGATAGAGGATCCCATAAAGGGCTGTTAATTATGAGTTAGAAACCATTCTTACACCGGCTATAATAAAACTCGTCTACAACCCAAGCTAAAGGTCGTGTCCAAAGGACCATAGGCGGGGTTACCTACAGATATATTACACCCACCCACTCCAATGAAAAACTATGGCATGGCAACCAGAGAGGTCACCTAGTACCTAGGAGGTCTGAAACCCACCTATATAAGTATCCTTAACCTGGTACTCTTTCGCCGGGGAGGTTTCCTAGAAGCCTCCCCATGGCACAGTAGCACGCGCGTTGTAGTTCGTAGTTGTAGGTTGTAGACCTCTGGTTCAATTCCCACTTCGAACGTAAAACGTAGGCCGTAAGCTGTAAATAACTGGAGGGGGGAACTTCGAGAGTCCTCGGGTGTGTGGCGGGCCTCCAACCATATTTTTTCTTCCCTTTCCTTTTCCTTTTCTTTTTTTGTCTGATATGAGCCTTCCTTACAAGAAGGCTAGAACTGCTTAACCCCGAGTAACCACCAGAGAGTCAACGGTACCTAGTGGGATCGCTTTAGTTTAGAGTGCAGTATTAGGCATTGGGCTTTTCGCTGTTGGGGAGAGTGAGCCAGGCGCAGTGCTGATACTTACAGCGGTAGTTGAGCCAGAGCTAGGACCCCCCATAAGGAGCCGTCAGGAGCCGCATTTGCAGGTGGCGCCAAGGGCAGCGTTGCTACAGTTCGAGTGTTTTGCAGCGTTTTCAAGGGATTACAAGTGGTGATAGGCATGGCGCTCGTGTTGGTCAAGTAGGCTGATAGCCTTCTCATGGTATCACCGGGACGTACCATACTACCTATGCTTATCACGCCTAACTTCTATTCTAGTGATTAAAACTCCATTATACGATATAACGGTTCCTAGAAGATGTCCCAGAGGTTTCACAGCACGCTGCAGACCAGCGTGCAGTTGACGATGTACGTGCCAGGGTAGTTTTACACTGGAGTCGAGCGAGTCGCAGGTAGGTCACTGCTAGGTAGAAGTATAGAGGCAGGACTTAATAGCGTTAATTACTGGGCCTTCTTGACTAGACGGAGGAGCTTATAGTAGCACCAACTAACTTGTTACAGTAGTTACTCCCTGACAGTACAATCGGGCGCCTTTACTTCTAGTAGAGATCACGGTGGCGATTAGTATCTATCTACCTCGTCTATTGCGTGCTATTAAACGGCAGTCGTAGCAACCTAGCGATACAGATGAGCTCGTTTTGTGACGACCTGCTTCACGAACTGCACCACAAATATCTATTCTAGAGGCTTATAAATTGATCTCTTAAGGACCACAGTTTTGCCTGCTACGGGAGCCTCTTAGGGTCCTTCGCTGCAGTGGAGCTCCTAGTCCTGCTAGCTTTTCTATTATTGTTGTACAAATAGAGGAGAGTAGAAATCGGATAAGCGCAATGCTTTAGTATAGATTCCGTAATCATAGCACCATATAGAGTTGCTAGTCAAGTAATCAAATAAAGCTCTATGTCCAAGTCAGGATACCCGGACCAATATCACCCGGCATCAACCATCATTTTCCTCGGGTTCTAGGTCAGGGTGCTTATTTCCTAACCAAGGATGGAAGTACGCATCGGTACAGTCAGGTCGCTCTTCGGGGACCCAACGAAGTAAACACCGCATAAAATCGAGGAACAAACTTTTCTCCTCTCCAGCGAGAGCACTGGCAAGAGACTCGAGGGTCTTGTCTGAGGGTAGAGGGACAGGGCCTTTCCATTGTCCTAATATATCTGTCAGGAACCAAGCGGGCGTGGATAGACTCACGGCAGGGCCATTGCTTACCATCTGCATTCCAAAACTTCGCTGTGTTCTCGCTTCTTT